CCAGTGCGCGCTTGATCATAGCAGCTAAAGCCGCAAGTGCAACGTGACAAACAAATTCGGTAAACGTACGAGGGGTGAATTGGGAGTTTGGAATCTCCAGGGACAATAATTGACCCTATAGAAACTCACATAGCAAAATTGTACATGTTGTATGGAGTTAAACAGATTTGTATTACAAACCGATATTTTCCTCTTTTGGGCAATAAACATGGTTATTTCTTCCATCTTGCATGATGAGTTATTAGAGAAGTAGATCGTAGTGGTTGCTACCACTGTAAAGGAGCCTCACAACTTTCCTTGCTTTTCCTCTTTTGGACCCTTTGCGGAACTCAGATCCATACTCTGCTATGGGAATAAAACCAGAACCCCAGCCCCGATTTGTATGCTGAAATACATCAAGGCATGAAAAAGCAAGGCTGATCAATGACACACTTTCATGCCAAAATTGTAACGAGTTAAATTCAACGAGACCAAGAGATGGTGATGTCAACAAATCCACTTCTAAAACTAGCAAAATTTCACAAATTTACCACCTAAATGGAGCACCTCTTTCCTGGAGACGTACATACCTCATGCTCTGGTATATAAACAATGATTGGCTGGCGACACAACCTTGATAGCACCTGTAGCAGAGTTGACAACTACTAGTCAGCATCTGATAAAATTAAACGATACAGCTACTGCTAATGGAAGACATCGAAACAGGCTGTACCCTTTTCCCCAACAAAAGAAATCAGACTAAAACAGATAAGTGACATCATATCTTACTCCTAAATTTTAATGCAAAAAAGAAGGCATAGGAAGCTCTTCAAAACATAATATAACACAGCTTCTTCACCAGTTAGAATGAGTTTTCTTTTTTTTTTTTTTCAGCCAGTGAAGAATGATTCAAATACATTCTACCGTTTCTACCTCTTTTCTATGGTAAAGGATTTTGGTAAGTGCTATCACAGTCACAAATAAACAAACAAATATCATTAAGAAGGAAGCAAGATCATCAGGTTAAAAAGAAGCCTCAAAATAAATATGCATCTCAGGATTGCTAACCAGAAGCTCTGACTCTCCACCCCAGAAATCAGGTCGCTGAATGCGTTGGCAGTAACTATAGAAAAATTGAAAGATTCCCATTATGAGGATATAGCAATCATGGGTCATAATTAACTCAAGAATTAATAAAAAATTGAACTTCCATCCTGTAGCCAGCAATAAGATTAAAGTGTTACCGCTTCAAGGACTCCTCTACTGTAATTGCAACCAAGGCTTCTTCATACTGTTGACGCTCTTTACCATTATCACACATAACCTCTTTTACAGCCATTCGCAGATCATCTGCAATTTAATGAGTCATGTCTAAAAATTCAACCAACTTTTGAGTTAACAGAATCTTATAATCTCACAATAAAAAATAAAGAACAGTTGCAATCATGCTGATGATTTGTAATTGTGGTCTTACAAGGACTTGAAATACAACACCCTAGCGAAAGTAACTTCTTTTACATTTAGTTACATAAGCCTTCTATGTAAGTAATGGTAACTTTAGCTACTGCTTCTGTAGAATAGAAAGGCCCACAGGTGGCATAGTGATTGCTGGCAAAGCTAAATGCTACTAGTTACTGACAATAGGGGTATTAGAGGTCTATGTGGAAACAGAAGTGAAAAGAGAAAAAAACAGTGTTGTCACAACCCTAAGGAAAAATTCAATATGAAATGAGGATGACAAATGCATCTTTGATGTGAGTGGAAGTTTTCTAATGGATAGCAAGCTCTATTACCACTAGAAACAAATGAAACGGGAATGTGCAACACATAGACAAGAGGTGTCCTAGTTCTCTGGAAAGTTTGATGTTCCTTAAAGATGGAACTACTTGTATGAACTATACCTGCATCAGCTTTCTCATTCCCAGGGCTGAGAGTGATACCTTTATTGAAAGCCATCCCTTTGACCTGATTTCATCAATCAGGATTAGTCCAGCAAGAGGGAAAAACAAAATGAGCCTTGATGTTTCTGGTTACCCATTATTGATTAGATGTATTGTTATTTTCTTATAGTGGTTAAGCTAAGGATCTTTAGGGAGTAAAGGAGCATACTACCAAAAAGCAGTGGCCTCAAAAATACCATCATGATGTCTATCTCTTGGGCCAAATAATAAAAGCAAAACCCACTTAAATGTTTGGTTTAATGAATTCACTCGTTGAATGAAAGCAAAAATCATTTAAGGCAGAACATAAATGGATTAAGAACGAAGACCTGATTACTCATACTTTAAAAATCTTAGACTAACTCTCATATACTTGTCAAACAAGAACTATAAAAACAAAAAATCTCACTGAACATTCTCCAAAATTTTTCTTTGTTTCTTACCATGAACACTAATTACAGTTGACCTCCCATTGAAAGCAAAAGGGCACTTGTTCTTGTTATACAATTCGGGATGTTAATTCAATACACGGCAAATGGCTGCAAAATTCATTCATCATCCCTCTATCTATCTCATTCTCGAGAAGACATTAAAGCACAATTTTTAAGGAATACCAAGGTCTTAAACAAAGTAACCTGCTTGCTTATAGTCACTAAAACCAAACATGAAAAGGGATAAGATGGTACCAATGCTCGAAATAGACAGCGGCCATCTCCAGTAACTCTGTGAACCGAATAATGCTCGACTTTCTTGGTTGCGGGTGATCCTGTGGCTCTACATTAACAAATAAACATTACAAAATCCATATTACTGCAAAATAGCAGTAGAAATAGTTGTAAAGTCAGGTTATAAATAAAACCCAGGACATAAATTCCAGAACTTTTCTTGATTTAAGAAGGTATGAAAAGCTTCCGCTAAAATCAAAGAGTAGCTGTTAAACAGAACCGAACAGGAGAGGGTTTAGGGTTTTGCAAGGTTTTAGAACTCACAATGGGGATCCAATTCTAGCGAAGAATCGATGAGTGTTATCTCGAAGGAAAGCTGCGGAACGAAAGTTGGAGGTTGGTGGTGAAATTGAGGAAACAGGCGAAGAGACAAGCTCGAAGTGGGCAGTTCCATCTCTCAATTGCTGGAGAATATTCCCTCAAAGATAGAGAAAAAAAAAAAATCCAGTTGAAATCTGAGATTGATGGAAAAGATAGGATTTCAGCGGCAGCCATGGCGAGAGACGTTCGAGATTACCATTGGAAGGGTTTTTCGCCATGAAACTCTCTAAGAAAACGAAGACGGTGAAGCATCAACGAGTCCTTGGATAAGGGCGCGAAGGAGGAGCTCTAATATTTGTTGAAAATGTGAAAAATTTAGAACCGGAAGCTTTCATTCGTTATGGTTCAATCCAGTCTAATGAGCTGTTTGATTTACCCTTTAAAAACGATTATTATTTATTAATTTTAATCAAGTAAATTAAATATTTTAAATTATACTGTTTATCTTTGATAAATTTAATTCAATTTTTTTATTTTTAA